ACGCATTCTACTTCCATTTGTACATTCGTAGTGGCGTTTGAATGCGATGTGGCCTATACAATGACTTGCGGGGGCCAGCCGATGTACAAGTCAGTGTTTTTATCCTCCCAGACAAGTCTGGTACCAATTAACCGACCCCGGAGGGATGTGTTGAAAGCTTGGCCTGGGCCATTCTGAATTAATGTGAACCGCATTCTTAGGAGATTAAGCCGACTCAACCAGGCACTTTTGTCCAATCCGCCTAATGCCTCATTTTGTAGTCCCTTTTAAAGTTACAAGCTTGACTCTCCTCTCTTCCGTAAACTCATAGTGAACAAAGGTGACTTCAAATTAGATATCTGAAACAGGTGCTCTATAGAAGCCGAGAAGGGAGGTTGGGCAGCCGCAAGGACACCACCTCTCACGAGCACGGTTCGCGGGTCAAATCTCAGATGCCCAGAACATCTAAGTTTTCTATCCCTCCGGAGTCGACCAATCGGATAGACTTGCTGGGAGGATTGATTCACTGATCCATACCCCGGCAAACCTCCGCAAGTCATTTACAAGGCCATACAGCATTCAAATGCCACTACTGTTCCAAATGGACATGAAACGCTTAGCGCATCCAAAAATGATCGACAACGCGGATTGCTTGATACTATTTTTCAGGCAAATTCTGCTTTCGTAAATTGTGACTTTGACAATATAAAGGCACTTCATTCTAGGAAATCTAAAGGATATGTTGTCGATCTTGAGAAGAAACTGCTCAACAACTGTTACTCACCGCTCGAACACAAAACGAAAGCGGTGCACCTCGACTTCTGCCATGGTTGGTCGGCATATGAAACCCGGCTCACTGCTTCAGACAACACCAGCATAATTCTACTTTCTTTCAGGGGGTCGAATAGAGGTTCGCCGCCGACCGACAAGTACCGAGCGGAATTCTTTCCCTCTCTCAATGACGTGCAACAACGTCAGTTCTCCTGCACTTGCTCAAAAGTACACATTTTCCAAAATCCATGTGAGCGCTTCCTCGTCTTCAGCAAATCATCTATATGGTGCACTGGCAATAGGCGCAGGCACCGTGTGCATAATTACGAACTACTATGACAAGCACCTCATGCGGTAATGCAAAACTGGTTGAAATTGAGGTTTCTCTGAGACGTGTGGAAAGCACGTACACATTTTTGGGATAATTTGACAAATCCGAGACGCTAGGGCCCTAGGATGCAGCATTGGCGCCGCTCAACAGCACTGAGCCCGCCCACGAATCAGTGCTATATTTTTGCGTGTGCTAGGAGTGAGGGTTTTATTCTCGCCGATTGTCGACGGTCTTTCGAATGCTTCCATTACTGGCGTTACACTTCACATTTCCACTATCACTTGCAAGCGTAATAATACATCAGTTCGATCCCAGATTTTGTCTTTATTTCTGGCACAACGTTCAGACTCCATGTCAAACTAGAGTTCCTTTATCGTCAAGAGGGGGTTCCGCTTAACCCGAGCACGCTTTGATCCGAGGATCTTGATCAACCGCATGCAAAAAGTTGCATAGAATGATGCGATCACTCATTAAATGTGATATCACGGCATTGGGTCCACGCATAAGCTACTTTTTGATTTTGGCCCCACCCCCAGTGCATGCTCCGCCCACTTTTATTTGACCCCTTCGCTATTCCCTCTCCACCTTTACTCCCTTCAAATCGTCTCGGATGGTTCCGTGCTTGTCGTGAATGGCTGTTATGATCATAATGAAAAAGACAATCCACATCGAAAAATTGCATGTTACTAAAATGTTGTTACTGTGAAAAATCGAGAGTATTCAAAAAAGTGAAACCATACTACTAGGTTGTCCCACAGTTAATGAATATTTTTACATTTATTGCTGCAAATTCCCAGAAAAAGGATGAAGGCCTGAAACATGTTTTGCGAGGAACATTTATCAGCCCATTTCTACGCTGCACTACGTGGCTAAAACTTCAATTTTTCTAGATCACTTTCTGAGCTTCCTTTTCCATCACAACCGATTAGGGACTTTCAAAGGCCAAGCAACGAAGAGTGTCAACTCAAAAGGCGAGAGCGCGCTCCTTCAACAGGTCAACCCTACGTTGTTACGAGTAACAACGGGGGGGTCGTACCTGGTTGAGTTTGTAGGGGGGGGTCGTACCCACTTTAGTCGCTCGAAATCACGTGTGGGATTGAGGTGAAACTAAGATTTCGTGGGTAGTAGGCTGGGCGAGTGGAGGGCGCGCAGGATAAAAATTTGCCGTTTCAGCGGCGTATATATACCCCCCCCCCCTCTAGAAAAGGAAGTAGTGGGAGTATAGGTAAAAATGGGTTGAAATGGAGGAATAGAAGGAAATTTTCGGAGATATTTACCGTTTCAGAGTGACTATATTGGGGGAGAGGGGTCGTAAAAAATTT